AGAGGCCAAGAAGAATCTGAACAAACAGGCCTTTTTGGGTTTCCCTACCCAGTCTGAGTTAGATCATACCCTTTTTATCCAATCACATTTCTACACGGTTGTCCGTGCTTCAGTCATGCCTACATAATAAAGTTTCCATAAAAACCCAAGATCACAGAGTTCAGAGAGCTTCCAGATAGCTTGAACATGTGGAATTTCCTGAAGGGTGGTGCGCCTAGGGATGGCATGCATGCTCCACGCCCCTTCTCCAAACCTTTCCCTATGCATCCCTTTATCTGAATCCTTTGTAATATTCTTTAAAATATATGGGTAAATGTAAGTAAGTGTTTCTCTGAGTTCTGGGACTGCTCAGCAAATCATTTGAACCCAAGGAGGGGATGGTGGGGACCCCCATTTATAGCCAGTCAGTCAGAAGTTTCAGACTCCTGGGCTTGTGACTGACATCTGAAGTGGGGGGCAGTCTTGGGGAATGAGCCCTTAACTTGTGGGATCTCACACTGTCTCCAGGTAGATAGTGTCAGAACTGATTTGAATTAGAGAATAACCAGCTGGTGTCTGCTGGAGAACTGCTTGCTTGCTGGTGGGGAGAAACACTCATACATTTGGTCACAGAAGTCTTCTGTGTTAATGACTGTTACTGAGTAAGAGCAAAGGAAAAACAGTTTCTCTGTATGTGTTTTCCCACTCACATGAGAGTTTATTTCCTTAATGAGACCATTTTCAAACAAAAATTATATTCATTTACATGTTGCCAAAAATGGAAGAATGAAACCATACTGAAAGGAAAATAAGTTTAGCAGAATCCCAGCCTATATTCCTAAGCAAAAGCGTATTCCTAACATCAACAGCTCTGGGTACAGCCCTCATCAGCAGTTTTATCTTCATGTCCCTTTTGTACAGAATCTTGGATTATAGTAATTCATAGCAACATGATTTAGAAAACATTCTCCATCTTGATGAAATCTTTCCCTTTTCTTTATTCCATCCACATCTTAAGAGAGAGAAAAATTCAGAGTATTTAAAACAATGTGTTTTATTTACGTCAATTGGGAGGAGTATGTGGCAAAAGCTAAATTCAGATGCCAATTTTGCTGACCAAAGTACCTCTAAAATGCACATGAATTTGTACAGTTAAATTCACAAGAAATCCTCAAGAATAGCAGGTTCTGGGGTGCAGTAAGATCATCAGCTACTACCGATTCCATAAGAGATGCCGTTTTCCAGTTAACTCTCAAAAGACATTTCCCACGTCCTGATAACTTTTACCACTGATATTCGGTACCACAATATTGTTCCTCATTTTCTTCTTGCATCTTTGGGAGAGAGCAGTCACAACATGAACATGTCTCATACTTGTTTCCTCTCACTTGTGGATTTGGTAGAGGATATCTCATTTCATGATAAAACACTGAAACAATGTTGTGTATGTTTGAGGGCTCCTTCGGAAGGCAACACTTACTCATCAACCTCAAGATAAAAAGTCAAGAGTAAGCTCTCAAACAAATAAGACACTAATTTCTTCCATCTCCTGAAAGAGGAATTGTGTCCCAAAGGAAAGAAAAGCTCATTGAACCCTTGATATTGAAAAGTCTACTGCACTACTTCTTCTACACGTATGCACTGATCAGATACCGTGAAGAGTTTAATGTTAAAACATTTCTTTTACATAAGTTTTAGCAATTATCTCAATAAGTAAATTCCAAATTTAAAATATTTATGTATAACTCTCAAATTTTCCAGAAACAAAAACTTTAATTTTTCTGGCTTACCAACTTCATAACTTCAGGAAGTGGAAGTAAGAGGAGAAGTGTTAAGTTAGTCACAAGGGATAACTACACACAGGATGTAGGCCAGTGCTGGGCACACAATAGGCACTTCTAAAAAAGAATGTGAAACACTGAGCAAGATAAATGGGACAGAGCAGGTGAGACAGGGAGTAGTCATTCGTTTATTCAACAAATGTTTATCCCATGCCTATTTCAGCCTAAGCACTACATCAAGCATTAGAGATAAAAGAGTTAAACAAGATGGACACAGTCTCAGCTCTCATGTAAAACTGAATCTGAAAGAGGAGACAGACATTAAACAAATGGTTGTGGTAAATACCAGAACTGAGAAATCCAAGTATCATAAAGTATAAAGAGGGCCCTACCTTAGACTAGGATAAGGAAGGCTTCCTCAAGAGACATTTGGACTGAGACTTCAAAGAGGGCATGTGCAAAGTCCCTGAGATGAGAATGAGCCTCGGGCTAGAGTGTAATGAGAGCGGGGGATGCTAAGAGATGAAGGGGTACACAGGCCTCAGATCTTGTGGCTGTCTGGGTGGTGATAAGTACTTTTTACTCTATTCCAATGAAAAGGGAAGCTTTTGAAAGGTGTTAAGCAAGAACATTACCTGATCAGATTTAAACTTCTAAGCCATCATTCTAACTGCTATCTGAAGAACGAGTGGGATAGAGACGTGTGGATATAAGGAACAGTGAGAGGGCTAATGTAATAGTCAGTAAGTGAGGATGGGACCAATGACAGAATAAAAGGCTTGTGAGAAGAAGATTGAGCTCAATTTTAGCATGCTCAGTTTGATAGGTCTATGATTCATTCAAGTAGAGATGTTCAATAAGGTGTTAGATATATAGGTCGAGAGCTCAGCAAAGAAGCCCTGACTTGAAGACCTTCATTAGGAATTCTTCAGCATAGAGATGGAACTCCAGCCTGTGAGACAGCATGAGATCAACAGAGGAAAGGCCACAAGAAAGAAAAGGGCAAGGCCCTGAAGAACTCCAACATTTAAAGGTCTGTTGGAGGAAGATGAATTCCACCACCCCTTTACCCCAGAGGAAGAAAAAAGCTAAAACAAAAAAACAAAAAGAAATGGGAAAAAAAAAAAAAAAAAAGGGGAAAAAAAAAAAAAAAAAGGGGAAAAAAAAAAAAAAAAAGGGGAAAAAAAAAAAAAAAAAGGGGAAAAAAAAAAAAAAAAAGGGGAAAAAAAAAAAAAAAAAGGGGAAAAAAAAAAAAAAAAAGGGGAAAAAAAAAAAAAAAAAGGGGAAAAAAAAAAAAAAAAAGGGGAAAAAAAAAAAAAAAAAGGGGAAAAAAAAAAAAAAAAAGGGGAAAAAAAAAAAAAAAAAGAAATGGGAAAAAAAAAAAAAAAACAGGAAGGGAATGTTTCAAGAAGGAGAGATTGGTTAACCTTGTTAAAAGATAAGGGGGTAACAACGAGGAATAAGATGAAGACTCAAAAGTGTCTACTGTATTTACCAATAAAAAAAATCTTCAGTAGCCTAAAAAAGAGCAAATTCAGTATTGTGGAGAAGGCAGAAGTGAGAGTTTAGTAGATTAAGTAATGAGAGGGAGGTAAAGAAGTAAAGATAACATATAGAGCAGTTTTTGAGAAATTTAGCTGTAAAGAGAACAAGAGAGTAAAAATAGAAATAGTAGTTGGAAAGAGGTGTGAGGTCTAGGGTAGACTTTTTTAAAAGCAAAATACTAGAATAGGTGAAGTCTGACAGGAAGGATTAAGTAAAGAGATAGAGGTGAGAGACAGGCTAAAGGTAGAGAGAGTTCCCTGCCACACACGGAAGGGCTGGCTTTGATAGGAGCTGCAGGTACAGGAAGCATCATACATTGTGGCAGAAAGCCAAAGCTTTCTAACATGAAATACAGAAAAAGATCACTTTTGGAAGTTAGTCAGGCTGAGTCAGGTAATGAGAGTTTGAGAGGAGTAAAGAAGGTCTGAAATTATTACTATTGAGAAAACAGACTTCAGGTTGTGTTTAGGACCTGGTAAAGGTTGGTGATCATAAATCTTAGGTGATATCCATCTATCCATCAGGAGATCAAAGTAAGAATAAAAGAAAGTACAGTGGGGCTCCTGACCCAGAATTCATTCCCCAGGCACAAGCCTCAGTTCTTCCACCTTTCCAGTCATATTATGTGCCATTCTGGATCCTCCCTAAAATGTCACTTCTGTGTGACTTTTGGAGCACCTGATTACTTGCTACCTGATCACATACTAACCATTTTCTATTTGGTATCTCCCTAACTTTAACTCTCTACTAGATATAGTTTGGATATATTTGACCCCCAAAGCTCACGTTGAAATCTGATCCCTAATGTGCAATGTTGGGAGGTGTTCGGATCATGGGGTGGATCCCTCATGAAGAGATTCATGCCCTCTTGCCCTATGATCTCCTTGCACCTACTGGCTGCCTGCCACTTTCAGCCATGAGTAGAAGCAGCCTGAGACCTGTACCAGATGCAGCTGTCCCAGAATCATGAGCCCAATAAACCTCTTTTCTTTATAATTACCCAGTCTCAGGTATTGTTATAGCAACACAAAAACAAACTAATACACTACTCTACTCTCTACTCCGATGTCCTGTACCCAGCTGCTGGGTGTACAACAGCTGCTCAATGAATACTTCCTAAATAATTTAAGGTTTAACTGGCAAGGGTCTTCTTAAACTGTGGAACAAAGAGTTGCCAAGACTCCCGTCTGGTTTGTGTTTCCCTGGTAGACATATAAAAATTTTCTTTCTGGGAACAGGGGTGTTGTACCAAGCCTATATTTTTGAAGTGACCAGTGATAGGCCAGTACAAAAACTGCATCTGAGAGCACCAGGATGGATGGGGGTGCCATCATTTTTGTTGAGGAAACAAGACCAGCTGTGGTCACTTCCAACAATTGCCCCTATCTCTCCCTCTCCACACATAAGCCTAACCCATGGCCTGTGCTACACAGATATAATCTGTCCCTTTCTCCCCAGTGCTACCCCAAAAGACTCAACTATGAAGTTCACATTGCATCCAAAGAGCTAGAGGTCAGAAGGCACACTTGGTGTTATCTGTCTCCCAAGTTTGGAATAATATTGCTCTGTACCCAAAGAACTTCACTTAGAATATTGCTGCAGTCAGAATGTTGCCCTAAAGTTTGGGGAAAGAGATAAAATAGGCAACAAGAAAAAAAATCTATTTCAAGTTTTACTGGTCTATCAAATTCATACCTTTGCAGCCAGCCGACACTCCATCACCCTGATATTGAAATGGGAAGTCGCTGCCTTATTCATTTCCACACAACTGTTGGCAATGACAAACGCTGCTCCACTTGGGAGTTTCACATCAGTTGCCCTCAGAGGATTAAATTCTATCAATTTGGCCTATTGGAGGAAAAATAATGATGATACATAATTTATTCAAATTCAGAAAATGCTCAAGCATTTATGCATTTATTAACCTTAATAAAGTCTTTTCTCAAAAGTGCATTCATTCATTCAAATATTATTTATTGACTTCCAAGCATTGGACTAGACACTGGATACAACAGTGAACAAAACAGACACTGTTCCTGCTCTTAGCGGGCCTACAATTTAGTGGGAAAGACAGTCAATTAGACAGACAAATATATTTTAAACTGTAAATATTATAAGAGTGGCAAAGCACAGGCTTCTGTATAGATACAGAGTTGAAACACATAATCAGATATAGCCTAACATATAGGCTCCACTCCTTTCAAATCTAAACTGAGTCCTAAAGGATGAGCAACACTAGGGCAGATAGAGGGTTTCTTTCCTCAAATAGTATGTCAAGAAGAAGGAAGAGCTTATGCAAGTCCAGAAGTGACAAACAACATGGGGTATTAATGAAGCTATGGGTATTGAAATTTGTCTAGAGCATGGAGTTTGAGGTGTGAGAGTTAGGATACGGGAGTAAAGCAGGGGTCAGATGGTGAAGTGCTTTGCAAACCCAAAGAACTTGAACTCTCTTCAGATTCTATAGCTCACTTATTGTCCTAATGAACATCAGGACTCTTGCCCTCCCGTCTGCTTATTAAATCTCATCTAAAATACCCTGAGCATTTTCTTAGTATTTAACCAAATTCCCTCATGGCTCGTGTCTTTGGTTGTGGAAATCAACAAGAAATAGTAAGAAGGAATCCAGGTACTCTTGGAAAATATCCAAGCCTGTAGGAATCTTATGAAAAACTAAGAAAAGGTTTTATAGAAATGTCTGCTTCCTTTTTAGAAATGGGCAACTTACAGGCAACAACCAAAACCTCAGCTCGACTCTGAAGGAGTTGATAGCCAAGGAGAAGTGGCATCCGGCTAAGGAATTCATTCCTGGCTTACTGTCAACATTCTTTTTCCCACCACTGAAGCCCCAAAAATGTTGACAGAGAAAAATGATACCAAAGAGTAAATTATAAAAAGAGAGGCTGTGAATATATGTGGTAAGAGAACTAACATTTAGGTTCAAAACCAACATGAGATTATGAAAATGCCATGAGATGAAGTGATTTGGGACAGGAACAGGAAAGGAGGTTGCAATAACTAGGGAATTGAGAAATCTCATCTTAACAGTGAAGAGAAATAAAAGAAGAGAGAAAAAAAAGAAAAAACTAGACACATGAGAAAAATAGACCTGAAGTATGATTCTGGAAGCTTAAGGGAGAAGCAATCAACATGAAATGGAGTAGGGTAAGTGGTGACAGCCTTGAGTTATGAAGCAGTTGGGAAATAATATCCTACAATTGAGACTAAAAGAATAGGCTGCCTATAACCGAGCATGCTATGAATCTCAAGACCTTCCTCTCAAGGTGAATTCTCCCTAACTGGTATTTTCAAATAACTCAACACCACCTACAGTTCCTTCTTCTGCAAGAAATGATATGGACTGGTCCATGCCTCCTCCTTCAGTGCCAATATAACGCTCGCTCTTGGCACAGATCTCTGCAAGTTCCACCTGGAAAAGTAAAAATCAATTTGTACTGTTAGTACAGTCACAGTCTATTTTTCATTCATTTCTTACTCCAAGCATGACAAATAGTTTTGAATTCCAGTGCCAACTCTGATCAATTAACAGTACTTGCAGCTGCCTGGAGCACTGCATTAACAAGGGCTCCAGACTGCCATTGAGCCCAGTAGGAAAGCAAACCAAGACCAATTAACAATGTCTTCTGTGGGTATGGAATGAGATATTGACTATGCATGCTATGTTTCTGCTATCCCTAAAAGACTCCATACAGAAAGTGGTTTCTCCCATCTTTCTATTTACTCCACCCCTCTCTAGACTGGTATCACTGAAAATCTCATAAGGGCACTCATTTATTTCTGTCTCAGCTTCCTTTGTCTCCCAACAGTAGTCTATTCCATAGTTTACACAGCCAAAGTGGACTTATCCACTTTTATTTTCCTGTCCAAAGTAATGCTGTCTCTCTGGCATGAACTAGTGTCACCTCACCAGACACAGCTTCCTCCAACCAAGATGAAAAGGCACAACAGATGAATGCAGTTCTAATCCAAACTGAGAATCTTAAAATAACTGGTAAAAAATCTTCAGTGGATTCCTATGGACTAAGAAATAAATACAAACTCCTCAACCCAGCATTTCAAAGCCTTACAAAACCTGGGACCAATTTGAATATGAAATTGTATTATCTACCACTCTTTTCCAGTTAGACTTGTCTTCTTACCATCTCACATGTTTATGCAACCTGGTATTACTTCATCTTCTCTCCTATATAAATTCTATGCTGCTCAATATCCTGCCTATTGGCTTACCTACTATGGGCAAATCCCTGGGCTGGCCACTCAAATCTTCTCCCATCATGAAGTGTTCCTCAAACATTGTTCCCACTGTGGTGTCCCCTTTCTCTGAACTCCTACAACACTTATAGTTAGTATCACCTATTTATTCATAGCCAACCTTTTCCTTCTAAGACTTGATTCAGGCTCTTATTTCTCATCTGTTTTACTAGAAGATGTTCCTAGAATAATCATTCTAAAACACTGATAACAATCATCTCTTACCTATTTGTGCTGCCAGTGCCTTAATGCTCATACTTCTCAGCATTGTACACAAGGTCTTTAATGATTTAACCCTTGCTCACTTCTCCAGTCTGCTCTCCCACCATTACTCCTGTAAATCCTAAGCTCCAGCCATAAAGAATACTGAACAAATACTGTTCTTCATCACTCCCTAGGTTCTTTCACCTCATAGTGCCTTTATAAGTATGATTTTCTGTTCTCTTTACTTAATACTCCTTTCTCCAGCATCCCTCACTAGTCAATATATGAAGTGTTACCTACCCTGGAACACACACTAACACCCAAATGCACACACACCACATAACCCCTCCTCTGCACTCCCTATTTGTAATTCTATTATCACTTACTGAACCACGCTTTAAGTGTGGCTTTACTTGTCTCTTTGTTCACCAGTCTATGAGAGCCTGTGCAGCACCTAGACTAGAGTCCCTTAACTAATATGAGCTAAATCACAATGTTTATTATTGTTCTTTAATTGTGCCTGTTCCCATCTATCTTCCCAGAAAATTGAGTGCTGTGAGAGATAGCATGGCATCTATTTTCTGTTATAACTCTGACATATCTAGATAAAGTGAAAATGTTAATGACTCCTCTGATTTTTCTCTACCTCAAGGATCTCTATTTTTCTCTCCCTGCAATCCTTCTGCATTCTAATTTAAATGCCTGAGTTCTTTACTGGGGCTATTTTCAAATTCTTCACTAAATTGGCAAAGAATCTATCTATTAGATAGAACCCAGCCAGGAAAAAGAAACTATTCATGAAATAGCACCAAGGTAAGTCCAAAAGAGACTGAAGTAGACTTGTTTGTTTTGTGATGTGGCTGATGACCAGACTCTCTAACTTACAGACACTTTGGAGTGCTCTAAGGAAAAAAAAAAAAAATAGATCTGCTTTAATTTTTAAAAAAAAGAATGAGGCTATTATTTCTTCTGTATATCTCTAACTCAAAGAGATGTAACTCAAAGAAATCAGGAACTTTTGCATTTTTTACTTCAAGACAAGTTGGCTGAGGACAATGACAGCCAGTTACCAAAATGAGCACAGCAGATGCAATAACCCTGATGGTTCAGCTGTAAAGTTCCAGTAATACAGGAAAGAAAAAAAGGAGTTCAAACATTAAAAT